GGGAATTCTGGGAGCTGAAGGTCCAGAAAGGGGCTCAGATTTCTAATCTCCATGCTGGTCTGGGGGAATTCTGGGAGTTGAAGTCCACAGAGTGACTCTGATTTCTAATCTCTGTGCTGGACTGGGGAATTCTGGGAGTTGAAGTCCACGGAGTGACTCTGATTTCTAATCTGTGTGCTGGACTGGGGAATTCTGGGAGTTGAAATCCAGAAAGTGACTCAGATTTTAATCTCCATGCTGGGCCAGGGAATTATGGTTTTCTACACTTACGACCATTGCATGGTCATGTGACCAAAACCCTTCCTTCTTTCATTCCATCCATTCGGATCCTGGACAACTGACTCATACTTACGATGGTCACAGGGTCCTGGGGTCACGTGATTCCCCTTTGGCGACCTCCCAACAAGCCAAGTCAAACTGGGGAAGCCGGATTCCCTTAATGACCATGTGACCCGCTTAAGAACGCCAGCGCTTTGCTTAGCAGACGCAGCGAGAAGAGTCGTAAGGCGGAACGAAAATGTCTCATTTGGCCCCGTGAAATTCTGAGGCTCGAGGGTGGCCGTACGTTGAGGAAACCCTGTGTATATCCTCTTTGCAAGAATAATAATAGTAGTAATGGCCTGCCAAGACGCCCAGCAGAGGCCAACGCCGAATGGATCTCTTCCCCCTCCCTTCAGCGTTGGGTGTAATTGCCAAGGGTGGCAGGATAGCGGCTGCCTCCCTTCAGCAATGGGGGAGGCGGGATGGGGGTTGTGCGAAGGCGGGGGGTGGGGGGAGGCGCCTGGGAATTCTAGTTCCGTCAGGAACACCATTTTCCTGGATATCAAGAACCAGATCACGGGTTGCTTTTGCAGAGAAGATTTGCCTGGGGTGAAAATCTATACCCTGCGCCGTTTGGCCTCCGTTTCTTGGCCCCTCGTCAGACCTGGCTCCCTCGAGGGCCGAGGCGGGGCAGAGAGTGGAAGGATGCCGACCGCTCCTTTCTCACCCTGGATCTGGGGTTCGAGGAGCGGTTTGCAAGCCGGACCGGTTCCAGCGGTTCCTGGCGGGGATTTCTCCCACACATCCTCCCTGCCCTCCGACGATCCTGGAGGGAAGGAAACGAGGGTGACGTCTCAGGTCGTCCTCAAATTAAGACCACAGTGGTGCCCCCAACATTCCTGTTGGTAAGTGAGCCATCGGGTAAGCGAGTTTTGCCCGCCTCTCTTGGCACCGTCGTTAAATGAATCACCACGAATGTGAAGTGTCGCACGGCCAATAAGCTTTCCCACTGTCTTGGCTCATGAGAAGTTGAGCCCAGGATTCCTGTCGCTAAGCAAGACAGTCGTTAAGTGGGGTTTACCCCCATTTTTGCAGCCTTTCCTGACACCGTCGTTAAGTGAATCACTGCATGGTTCAGTGAGTCACACGGTTGTTAAGCGAATCAGGCTTTCCCAGTGCTCGTGAGAAGGTGACCACAATTGAGTCCAGAATTTCTGTTGTTAAGTGAGACAATCATTAAGTGGGTTTTACCCTATTTTTGCAGCCTTGCCTGCCACTGTTGTTAAGTGAACCACTGCATGTGTTAAGTGAGTCACACAGTCATTAAGCGAATCCCTCATTGATGTCGCTTGTCGGAAGGTCGCCAAAGTGGGGTCATCGCATGACCTCTACGCTGCGACCGTCATAAATATTAATCAGTGGCCAAGCAGATGAATTTTGATCAGGTGACTGGGGGGGGGGCTTGCAACGGTCATAAATGTGAAAAACAGCCCCAAGTGCCTTTCTTTGGTGCCACTGCAACTTGGAACGGTCGCTAAACAAACTGTTGTAAGTCAAGGACTACCTGGAGTGGAATTGAGCAGCTGGCGTGTAACAACAGGGCTCAACAAATTACAGTGGTTCGTTTAATGACCATTCAAAGTTACAAAACCACTGAAAAAAAGCAGACTTGTGACTGTTTTTCACACTTATGCCCACTGCAACATCCCCCTGGTCATGTGATCCAAAATTCAGATGCTCTGACTCACATTTACGACAGCCACTGTGTCCCATGATCACGTGATCCCCTTTTACGATGAGCCAAGTCAACGTGGGGGAAGCCAGATTCCTTTAATGTCCGTGTTACTCACTTAACAACGGGAGAGATTCACCACACAACCAGGGCACGAAAAGGTGTACGTTGGGGGGTGCAAAATACACCTCACAATTCTTTTCCCTCAGCAGCCAATATTTGGGGGGGTTCCATGGGGGTCGTTAAGTCGAGGATTGCTTAGAAAAACACCCCAGATTTGTGGGCAGCCTTGAGAAGCGGGCGTGGGAATTGCACGCCCTCCTGGGAACAAGCCTGCCGGGGGTGCAGCAAGTTCGTTGGTGTGTGTTTGTGTTAGTGTGCATAATTTATGCACCTGTCTCCAAATCTAAGGTAATATTTGGGGTGAGACAAGATATACATGTTTTTGATACCCACAACACTTGGGTGAAAACTTTTTTGGGTGAAGGGTGCCTGTTGGTGATTCTTTTGCCTTACCTACACACACACACACACACACACACGGTGTGAGAATTGTGCATTGTGGCAAAATGCCAAACTTTTATCGCAAACTTTCTCCTAGTTCCTTAAAGCCTCCCTAGAGACAGATTAAATCTGGTAGTACGTATTTTAATTAGGGTGATACTTTTAGCTAGTCCCAACCTCGTTTTCTCAGGTTCCCCCCGCCCTGCGTTTTGGCTTGCTCAGGATGGGACGTGGCCCGTAGGGGAGTGCTTCATGGGCTACGCTTAAACACGCCTGTGCATTAATAGAGCGTGTGCACAATGCGGCAGTGCTGAATTGTGCATTTTGCTTGCGACGAATCAGCTTTGAAGAGTGGGTTTTGAAGGATTTGCAAAGCTGACATTTGTGAACACAATAATGCAGTGATTTTCAACTGTGGGAAATTTAAGGTGGATGGATTTCAACTCCCAGAATTCCCCAGCATCATGCTTTAAGATGCATGGACTCCCAACTCCCAGAATTCCCCATGCTTTAAAGTACATGGACTTCAGTTCCCAGAATTTCCCATGTTTTAAGATGCATGGACTCCCAACTCCCAGAATTCCCCATGCTTTAAAGTACATGGACTTCAATTCCCAGAATTCCCCAGCATCATGCTTTAAGACGCATGGACTTCAACTCCCATAATTCTCCATGTTTTAAGATGCATGGATTTTAACTCCCAGAATTATCCAGCTAGCGTGCTTTAAGATGCATGGACTCCAACTCCCAGAACTCACATGCTTTAAGACGCATGGATTTCAACTCCCAGAATTCCCCATGTTTTAAGATGCATGGACTCCAACTCCCAGAATTCCCCAGCCAGCAAGCTTTCAGATTGGTGTACTTCAATTCCCATAATTCCTCATCCAGCATATTTTAACATACATGGACTTCAACTTCCAGAATTCACAGTTGGCTGGGGAATTCTGGGAGTCAAAGTCCACCCATTTTAAAGTTGATAAACACTGCAATAGTGTATTTTTCTGATAAAAAATGTTCCTTTTAAAGCAAAAGTAGACCATTAAAAGACAGTGTTCCTATCTTGTGTGTATGTGGAGTAAGAACATGCACAAAGAAAAATGATTTCTAAATGTCATATTTGCAAATATGGCTGCTCTCATTTGCGCTGACGTTCGCTAGGTGTCTTTGGTTCAACTGGGTCAATTTACTTTAACGAGATTTAATTGAATCGAAGGCTGTTTATTTAAGCATGCTGTTTTTTTTCTTCCTCCTTTCTACGTGGCTTTTTGCAGCCTCTGACTTGGGTTTGTATACACAAGCCTTTTGAAGAGGTTGCTTCACTCTCTCTGAGCACACACAAAGTTCACACACACACACACACACGCACACACACACACGGGCCTTTCTGAACTGGTGCAAAGTTGGGAAAGATTTACACATGTCGGTGAAATCCTGCCAAAGGCTCAGACACACACACACACACACACACACACACTGGGTGCACATGTAAAAATCAAGCTAGGACTTACTTTCAGGGTAGGTCGTATTTTCAGTGAAACTATATGTATGACATCTCGACTGTATATATAGTCGAGGTGTCATAAGTCAAGGACTGCCTACATTTGATGGGGAGCAATGATGGTTAGAGGGCTCTTTTCTTCTCCTAACTCTCTTTCAGAAGTTGTGGGAGTTTCGTCACTGGAGGCTTTCAGGAAGAGACTGGACTGCCCCCTGTCAGAAATGGTGTAGGGTCTCCTGCTTGGGTGGTGGGGTTGGACTAGATGACCTACAAGATCCTTAATCTAGTTCTAATCCTCTTTTCCAGCCGTGGAGCCTTCTTGCTTCGGAGATGGTCTGCTGTGCCGGTGCGTTGGGCCCACACGCCACGTGTACTCCACGGCGACTTGGCCAAACTCTCCAGCCGGGCTCAGGAGTTTGTCGAGCAAGGGGTGCGACTCTGCCAGCCGGACAGCCTCCACATCTGCGATGGGACGGAAAAGGAGAACACCAAAATCTTGAATTTCCTAGAATCGGAAGGCATCATCAAGCCGTTGACAAAATACGAGAACTGGTAAGCCCGCCCGGCTGTTCTCTCTTGTGGGGATAGGGTATGGGGAGGAATGCCAGTTCCCATCCAGCCTGGGGAACGATGGGAGTTGGAGTCCTGCACGACTGGATTGCCACACACCGGACGTGTTTGCAAAACTTCAACAACCGAAATTCCCCCCTGCCATCCTTTTCTTTCCTTCCTTTCTTCCGCAGCTGGTTGGCGAAAACTGACCCGAAGGATGTCGCTAGGGTGGAGAGCCGGACGGTTATCGTCACGGAGGACCAGAGAGACACGATTCCTGTCACAGCTCCGGGGGTCAAGGGTCAGCTGGGCAACTGGATGAACCCCAAAACCTTTCAAGAGGCAGTGGACGATCGGTTCCCTGGTTGCATGAAAGGTGAACGGACAGAAACGGGCCCGTTTTCGGCCTTCTGGCACTTCCAAGAGGCCTGTTTTTCGCCCTCCAAGAGCCTCCGCGCAGATCCATTTACTTGGGATCCAAAATGGACCGCGTGGAGACTCCTGGGAGGGGAGGAGAGGGGTTGGGTTGGTCAGGGCCAGCCAGTCATTGCAATTATATGTTCAGCGAACCAGATGTAAAATTAACAACCAGCTCACCCGAACCGGTGCAAACCGGTAGCAGCCCATCCCTGGAGAACGGAATCCATTCATCCATCTTGGCTAAATTGTTTTTATTTTTATTTTTTAATGCTTTTGGTTTGTTCACTGATGCTGTTTAGAACTGTGGTTTTCAAATACCTCAAGTTTTAAGATGGGTGGACTCCAACTCCCAGAATTCTCCAGCCGGCCAAGGAATCCTGGGAGCTAGAATTCTGGAGGAGGAGGAGGAGGAGGCAGAAGAAGAAGGGAGGAGGAGGAGGAGGAGGAGGAGGAGAAGGGGGGAGTAAAGGAGGAGGAGGAGGAGGAGGAGGAGGACAAGGGGGGGAGTAAAGGAGGAGGAGGAGGAGGAAACGGAGGAGAGGAGTAGAAGAAGAGGAGGGGGAGGGCGGAAGAGAAACAAGGAAAGGAAGAGAAAAGGGGAGGAAGAGGAGGAGGGGTAGAGAAGAAGAGAGGAGGAGGGGAGGGAACAGGAAGAAGAGAAGGAAGAGGAGAAGGTGAGGAAAAGGAGAGGAAAAGAAGGAAAAGAGGAGGAGAGGAAGAGGAGGAGAGGAGGGAGGGAAGAAAAAGAAGAGGTTAGAAGGAGGAGGAGGAGGAGAGGATGAGTTGGGGAAGAAGAGGAGAGGGAAGAGGAGGAGAGGAAGAGAAGGAAGAGGAGGAGGGGGAAGGAGGGAAAAGAAAGAAGAGGAGGAGAGCAAGAGGAGGAGGAGAGGAAGAAGGAAGAGAAAGAAGAGGTGGAGGAGAGGAGGAGAAGGAGAGGAAGAGAGGAGTGAGGGAAAAAGACAAGAAGGAGGAAGGGAGGGGATAAGAGGAGGGGAATTTTAGGAACTGAAGTCTACCTGTCTTAAACTTTCCAAGACTTCGAAGAACCCTTTTTTGAAGGCTGCTCATCTTCCCGTTGTGCTTATGTTTAAAAAAAAAAACAAGAATAAAGAAACCCAAGGGAAAACCTCAAGCACAGAGTCCTTGACTTAAAACCAGTCACTTAGTGACCGTTCCAAGTTAAAACTGATCTGAAAAGGAGGGCTGTCCAACTCCGATTTGAAATTCTGAAGGTCAAGCTGAAAGAACCGGATTTGTTTAACAACCGTGTTGCTAACTTGACAACGGCAGTAATTGGCTTAACAGTAGCAAGAAATGTCATCCTATGGGGCAAACCACATTGTGTAAAGGTCTTGCTTAGCAACAGAAATGTTGAACTCAATTGTGGTCATAAGTCGAAGACCACCTGTATATTTAACCGAAAGACACTGAAACCCACCTTAGACAAATGCTATTGTTCCAAGTTCGTCATTTAATGACCCCGTAATCCTTTTGCGGGGTGGAGATGGGGCAACTGAACGGAGCTGAGTGTTTACTGGCTAGATGCTCTTCCTGTCGCCAATGTGGAGTTCAACAGATAAATATACTCATTGTGAGAGAGAAATATTAGCCTCTACCTACCCTTTCCCCCTGAAAAATAAGACCCAACTGGAAAATAAGCCCTAGCATGATTTTTCAGGGTGCTTGTAATATAAGCCCTACCCTGAAAATAAGCTCCAGTTAAGATTGTCAGCCAGATAAACACATTTGGAACCGTATTTCCCTGAAAATAAGCCCTATTTGGAAAATAAGCCCTAATGAGTCTTTTGGAACAAAAATTAATATAAATCCCGGTCTTATTTTGGGGGAAATATGGTAGGATTGAGCTCACAGCCTCCTAATAGTCAGGCAAGAGCTCTACCTCTAGGCCACATCACATGTTATTGTTCCAAAGTGTTGTTGTTTTTTTAATTATTTGCTCAATTTCTCTTCTTCCCTCTGGTTCATCTTGTCTGGCAGGGCGCACCATGTATGTCATCCCCTACAGCATGGGCCCACTTGGTTCGCCACTGTCCAAAATCGGAATCCAGCTCACAGATTCGGCCTACGTGGTCGCCAGCATGCGAATCATGACGCGAATGGGGGCGGCGGCCCTCCGCACGCTCGGGGACGGGGAGTTCGTCAAATGCCTGCATTCGGTGGGGCGGCCCTTGCCCCTTACTGGTAAGCCTCCCACGCCCCAGCCCTTTGCTGTTTCATGAAGTCTCCGTTCGTGTGACAAGGAAGTGACATATGAAGACGCGACGAACAGAGTCATGTTGGTGCAAAATGAGACTAGCAAAAGAGGTTGCGTTAAAAAACCCCCGAATAATTATTTGTCTGAATTTGGCACCCTCTAGTCTAGTCTAAATGGATAGGCCTGTGTTTCTCAATCTTGTCTCCTTTACGATGCGTGGACTTCAACTCCCAGAACTCTCCAGGATTCTAGGAATTGAAGTCCACCATCATAAAGCATGTTGGCAGAGGAATTCTGTGAGTTGAAGTTCATCCATCTTAAAGCATGTTGGCTGAGGAATTCTGGGAGTTGAAATTCATCCATCTTAAAGCATGTTGGCTGAGGAATTCTGGGAGTTGAAGTTCATCCATCTTAAAGCATGTTGGCTGAGGAATTCTGGGAGTTGAAGTTCATCCATCTTAAAGCATGTTGGCTGAGGAATTCTGGGAGTTGAAGTTCATCCATCTTAAAGCATGCTGGGTGAGGAATTCTGGGAGTTGCAGTCCACATATCTTAAAGCAGAGGTCTTCAAACTTGACAGCTTTAAGACTTGTGGACTTCAACTTCCAGAATTCCTCCTCCAGTCATGTTAGCTCAGGAATTCTGGGAGTTGAAGTCCACAAGTCTTAAACTTGCCAAGTTTGAAGACCCTTGTCTTAAAGCATGCTGGCTGAGAAATTTTGGGAATTTCAGTCCACGTATCTTCAAGCATGCTATGCTGGCTTGGGGAATTTTGGGAATTGAAGTCTATGCATCTTAAAGTCGATAAGCTTGAGAAGCAATGGAGATAGACCTTTTCCAAGTTTTTGAACTATTCTGAACTATTGTTACTAAGAATTCTGGCTATGCCCATAATTATGATGCCCATAATTTCCAGATGTATGAAGCTGGAGGACATTATTCCAAAGGTTTGGGACTTCAGCTCCCAGAATTCCTTGTGTCTGGCTCCAGCCCATGTTCGAACCCTCAGTCTACCGATGGTTCAAACATGCTGGAAGGCCGTTTGTGTTAAAATCCCCGACCTTCGGTCCCTAACATGGCATCTTCTTCCTTTGCAGAAGACCTCGTGAACAACTGGCCTTGCAATCCGGAGAAGACCTTAATCGCCCACGTGCCGAACCGCCGAGAGATCGTGTCTTTTGGCAGCGGCTACGGGGGCAACTCCCTGCTGGGTAAAAAATGCTTTGCCCTCCGGATCGCTTCTTGCATCGCCAAGGACGAAGGCTGGCTCGCCGAGCACATGCTGGTGAGGGGAAGGGAGGGGCTGTGAGAGTGAAAGGGGGGGAGGCTGCCTGGGTCTGCATGGCAATGTGGGGGGAGACCCCCACGACCTCAGTCACTTGGAGAACTGCCTGGCTGCGACTTCTGAAAGCGGAAAGGGGTAGCTTTGATGGCGTGGCTTCAGAGGCCATCTTGATTTTTTGCCCTCATCTCTGTAAAAACCCCTTGGAATTGGTCAGGGGCAAATATTTTACAGGCCGTGTTCGACTTACGGCCACAATTTCCGTTACGGAGAGAGACAGGGGGCAAGTGAGTTTTCTTATCGCCGTGGTTAAGCGAATCACGGCGGTTGCTAAGTCAGCAACACGGTCGTTAAGCGAATCTGGCTTCCCCTATCAACTTGGCTTGTCAGAAGGTCACAAAAGGGGAATCCCGTGACCCCGTGGACGCTGCAACTGTCATAAGTATGTGCCAGTTGCCAAGCGCCTGAATTTTGAACCCAGGGATGCTGCAATGGTTGTAAGTGGGAGAGATGGCCGTCAGTCACTTTTTTTCAGTGCTGCTGTAACTTTGAATAGTCACTAAACAAAATGGTTGAAAGTCAAGGACTTCTTGTACTCCGAAGCTGCAGCTCCCTTTTTTTTTTCTCATCTGCAACTTGGAGGGGAGAGTCAAGCACCCTTTGCACTTTCTGCACATGCTCAGAGGCACTCTTTCCCTCAATCAGTGATTGATCTACTGGGTTATGGAGATTCTCTGTTATCCAGGTCATTGCAAGGGTGTTTTTTTTTTCCCAAAGGCGAGTGAAGTTTCTTTGTTTTTTGTTTTTCTTGAAGAGGTTTCGCTTCTCACCTGAGAAACTTCTTCAGTTCAGCTGGAGGAGAACTTGAACTGAAGAAACCGAAGAAGCTTCCCGCCCGGGAAGCAAAATCTCTTCAAGGAAAATACAAACAAAGAAAGCCCAGTTGTCTTTGAAAAAATAGCACCGTTGCGATCTACCGGTTTACTTGTTCCAATCTGCTGTCAAAAGCCCACCTAACTACCAAGCAAGTCAAGCGTGCAGCCCGTGTGCCCTGGGGCACAGCTGTTGTGCCGGGTGTGCAAAATTAGAGGAAGCCCTTTTGGAGTTTTGGGGCTGGGCGCAAATGGTTGCCCGGTGCAGCAGCGGCATTGGGGCAGGAGGGGGCAAGGTTCGATTGCTGGGATTGAGCCGGGGGCGGGGAGGAGGCAGAAAATTTGGTCCATCAGGCCCCTGGCCAAAGGACAGAGGCTGTTTGCATTGCCTGGGAGTTATATTTAATGAGCAAACATTAATTGGTTAATGATTGACAGACGCTGGCTGAAACCTAACCAGATTGGGATACTTTGACGCAGGAAAGAGACAGCCGAGGTTGGAGAGGGGGAGGGCATTGTCCTGAGACTGGGAGGACTGGTGGGTGGTGGTGATAGGCAGGAGTTGCTGGTTTGGTAAAAACAGCTCCCCAGCCACTTCAGTGGGCAGGACTGCAATGCCCATTGTGCCCAGCCAGCATGATGATGGGGGAGGATGGGAGCCGTAGTCCGGGCTGCAGCAGTATTCCAGCTTCAGGAAAGACCTATGGGTGTGCAAAAGGCTGTCAGAATGAGAAGGGAGATTTTGGGGTACAATTCGCTGTAGATTTGCCAGGATTCAGAGCCGGCGTTTGTAAATTAGGTTCACATGAATGAATGAATGAATGAATGAATGAATGAATGAATGAATTCATCGCTTTTCTGATTTATTTATTTTTTTACCAGGAGGCTGAATTTTTAACAAATCGAACAGGCTGGGCTTGCATGAAGGGAAAATAATAATCCGGATTAACTTTAATAATAACATTTTTATTAAAAAAATAATTGTAATTTTGACAAGACTCATGACAGTCATGAAGGGTTTTTTCCTCAAGTGTGTATTGTACATAAGCGAGCACGGAATTGGAATTAAAATATATATATATTTATTTTTAAATGTGCAATGGTGAAAGCGTTTTCCCACCGATCCCCGTCCCAAAGAACAAACTTGAATATTATTTCCTTTAATGGTAAAAGCAGTGACCGTGAAGGTTAACATTTTAGTCATGGCGTAGAATAAAAGATTAATTTAAGATGGAAAGGCTGGAATCGAAGAGAAACGAACAGTTTTAAAAAGGCCCAAATCTCAGTTGAGTGCAAATTCTCCAAGAAAAATAAATCGTATTGCATTGCCTTGTGATTTCCTTCTTATCAAAGGTAAATGTGGAAAAGCAGGGTTAAACTCTTCCTCAGACTGTGTTAAAAATCAGTATTAAGTTCAGTATTCGTCTTGCTTGGCCACTTAAAGTGCAGACTTCAACTCCCAGAATTCCCCAGCCAGCGATGGTCTTCCTCCTCTGCTGAATTCTGGGAGTTGAAGTCCATGTGTTTTAAAATGGCCATGCTTTAGAAAACCGTTTCACTCACTTAACTTTACCCACTTAATGATACAGGTAGTCCTCAACTTATGACCACAAATTGAGCCCAACATTTATGTTGC